GGTTTGACTGTATCTATTTGATAAATGAAGTTAACCAACTAACATTATACATACTCTTTTGGTTTTTGTACCCAATATTTAAAAAATGTACAAATGCAATAAAATATTGGTATCGGTACTCGGTATCGGCAAGTACCAAAATAAAAGTATCGGTATCGGGCGAGTACTGGAAAAAGTGGTATCGGTGCATCCCTAAATCAAAGCAGTAAAAAACTATCTGAACTGATAAATAACAGATTGGAGACTAAAATAATAGCAGATTTGTCTCATTTTAAATGAATAATAAAAACTGAGATCAAAAATTTACTTAAGCCAGAATTGAAATGTTACTATGGTAAAATAAATATTCAAACCACGTGTGTTACAACTAACACCCCGTTACTTTGTGCATCGCACTCATGGCAAGTTTATTGTTAATCGGTATCGGCCCCAAAAAACCCATATCGGTCGGGCTCTACTCTGAAGTAAGTCCTGTATAATGTGGTTGGTTAAGGACTTTATTAATGAGCTTTTGAAAAATGTTTAACAACTCAGTATTGGACTAGTCAACCATCAATAGTTAGTGTCTGGAGTATTGTATGTGCTGGTTAAAATTTATTTATTAAATTGTGTGTGTGTGTGTGTGTGTGTGTGTGTGTGTGTGTACACAAAGAATATCGGCCGATATATCAGTATCGACCTTTTTTTTTTTTTACTCCCTAATATCGGTATCGGTATCGGCCCCAAAAAACCCATATCGGTCGGGCTCTACTCTGAAGTAAGTCCTGTATAATGTGGTTGGTTAAGGACTTTATTAATGAGCTTTTGAAAAATGTTTAACAACTCAGTATTGGACTAGTCAACCATCATTAGTTAGTGTCTGGAGTGTTGTATGTGCTGGTTAAAATTTATTTATTAAATTGTGTGTGTGTGTGTGTGTGTATGTGTGTTTGTCAGGCTTACAGATGCCGTGAGAGAGCTGGAGCGTCTCAAAGCTCGTGTGGAGGACAGAGAACAGGAAGTCACAACACTCAACAGGAAACTACAGGTACACACACACTTGTCTGTTTAACATTTGTCTAGATAACTTTGTCATTTCTGCTGGTGAAGAACCGCCCACTTACAGGTAAAGCGACCAATCACAGACCAGACATAGCAAGCCCATAGCAACGTAAATGTAATGTGATGTGAAGCCTGATCATCAGTCAAGTCAAGTCACCTTTACTTGTATAGTGCTTTATACAATACAGATTGTGTCAAAGCAGCTTTACAGAGTCAAACAGGAAAATAGTGTGTCACTAATGCAAGAGGATGATAACAGAGAGTCAAAGAGTCATCAGATGTGTGTGTTGTCAGGATCAGAGGAGTCTTGAGGAGACTGAAGTTCATTCACTGAAGAAACACACTGCAGCACTGCAGAACACACTCCGAGACATCACACAGGTACAACTCACACTCACACACACACACACACACACTCACTCTCACACAC